AGCTCCTTTCTTTTAGAACTCATAGGGACACTGCCAGTGCACTTAATGTTTGGCATTAATGTGTTGTCACTCCCCATTCCTGCGTGTGGCTCATTTCTATTCATAACCATCCATCCATCTCAACGATTAACTTGGCCTCAGCACTGCTGCCTGCCTCTTCCCAATCCTCTGGACTTATTCCAATCTGCACTGCAGTTTGTGATATTCAAAATGTCTCAAGAATGAAGATCCAGTCAGACCTCACACACTAAATTTAAAAGACAGAAAAGCATGGAAGAAGCCTGGTGGAAAAATGGGCAAGAGTGACTACCTCAAGGCCTCTGGCTATGGGGCTACTTCTTTTTAACAAAATAACTTCTAAATTGTAATATTGCCGTAAGTGCTTTTCTCCCTAAGGGCTGGGAAACTGCCTTAATGCACTAGAACAGTAAGTGCAAGTGGGCAGTTAAGGACACGCTCGCACATGCTCTACCTGAATAGACCAGTCACACCACTGCAGGGACAGACATGTAAAGGATGACAGCCCCGTCACAAACTACTGGGGTCAGCCTCTAGAAAACTTTAAAAATAAAATACTGTAAAAATCACAGCATTTGGGGCAGCCAGGTCCATAAGAACAAAAACGGGCTAGTTCTATTCAGAAGATTCCTGGGTTATTTGGACAGTATCAAAAAAGCTTCAGTCTACATCAGTGCTGTCCAATCAAACTTTCTGAATAATAAAAGTGTTGTCTATCTGTACTATTCAACACGGAAGTCACTAGTCATATGTGACTACGAAGTACTTGATGTGCAGCCAGTAGCTACCACTGTGGACAGTGCAACTTTGGGAAAAATTTAACTACCAGCCTTGGCTTCTAACGTTCAGCGAAGGTGCATAAGAAAACCAGGAGTGTCTACTGGCAACAGACCTAGTCTCGTCACCCCGACATACAAAACCAAATTCACACAATGCAGCTCTCCAATGTGTGTCACAGCTGACCACACTAGTCTACCTAAGTGACAAAGGCCCATTACCGACCTCAAGATCTCCTGGCACTAAGTCATTGGCATTTTCACAATGCCAAAACCGGAGTCCCAAAAGACGAAACAATGACAAAGACGTGGAATTACATCAAGTTCGGTTTCCTCCTCTGGAAGCCCCAGTAAGCCCTTGAGTTCATCATCCTCTCCACCCATCTTCTCATCTCCTTTCACCGCCGATGGCAATGTCTGAGGCTTCTCTCGAAGAGTGTATGCCCTTGTGGATGCACCAAATGAGACTGTGGAATCGATGGGAATTTGCTGAGGCTTGTGAGGTTCCAATCGAATGTGACCCAAGAAAGTGCCGTGTGCTGGGAATAACCAAATCAAAAATGTAAGAGAAAAAAAAAAAACAACCTTTTTTTGTTGTAGAAAGGAGAGCAGCTCCTCCCAGCATATCCATTCTGCTTTTTAAAATGAAAATGACACTGGGTCCACTCTGCATCCCTTGTATTGGGTCACAATGAAAAGGAAAACTCCTTCACTGGGTCTTGAATCTCCTCAGTGGAATTCTTACACATCTTCAGACCTGCTGTCACCCCACATAACAAACACCACCACTTGCTCTCTGCTGCCAGACAGGCTTGGCTCCATTCTGGGCCCAGCAGGAATGGCTCCAACCCAGCAATAACCACGCCCCCCATGGTAGGAGACAGGCATCGCTGTGGTCTGACCTCTCCAGCCCCAAGCCTAAGGAACACAGGCCCTGATGACAGTTATCCTTGGGTTTTCCCCACGACAAGATGAGGTTGGCTGAAACAAGTGTGATAATGAATGCCAAGGCAAGCCAAAACCCTGCTGCAGAGTCTGAAAACTTTTCCACGTCTGCATTCTGCATGTTATAAAACGGAGAGAAAAGATGAGATAAATCTGCAAGTAATACTTGTGAGACAAGGCTCTCCAAAACCATTACACAGGCAGACTGGGCTGGGCTCCATGTTGGGAAGTGCGGGAGGAGGACATGGTCAGCCCAGGAAGCAGGATCCTTTACATTTCACACTGTATCTATATACGGGAAAATGAACAAACTTCAGGGAACCATGTAGTTAAGTCTCAATTGCATTCCCGGGATTATCTTTGGCAAAGTTGAAAATCTTATTAGTTGTAGTATGTTCATAAAATGAAAACTGATATTATTAGTAGTCAAAGCAGAATGCAGCTGGAGTAAATAACCCACTACAAAAAAATTAAACTGTTCAAAAGCATTTTTTTAATGTCCTGCACCACTATTCTATTACATTAACGGAGCTAATCACGGCTTCTGCTAAAATTGGACCACAATTTATCATGGTCCTATAAACACTTGGACCATGGACTTGGATTCCCATGGTCCCTAGCTCCTGGGCATTTTTGTTGTTGTTCTCTATCTATACCCACTGCCTTCTCCAGGACAGTCCTCCCCTGAAACCTTCTCTCCAGTCACCAATTATTTTAGGAAAATAGGCGATATCACAGGAGTTGAAAAGAGCAGATTTAAAAACCAAACATAAACTTTCCCTTGATCAGTAATAAAACTCGATTTTGAAACTGAAGAACCCAAAGAGCATTTTTACATTGCCCAAGAGAAATGTGTGAGATGGGGATAGATGGGATGTCGGTTACTTACTACTGTTGAGATCTATTAGGAAAACTCTCTTCAGATGCTTGTGGTAGACCAAGGCAGCGTGGACCCGCGAGCAGGACTGGTGGTCAATGGTGAAGTCACATAAATCAGGGTTTCTCCCAAATAAGTAATACTTCTTCTCATCAATAATCAGTTTCTAAATAAACATTAGATTAAATATTACTCAAATCATTTCAACAGGATTTAGCAAACACTCTTCCAATGAAATAAACAGAGAATCATGAATAGATAAAATTCCTTGCCAAGGTGAAAAAAAAATTATTTCCTGTTATTCTTCAAGATAAAGAACTCACAATAATTTACTTATATCTTGAGGGGTAGATGCAATTAATCTTCCCAAATATAGTGGTCAAATGTCTAGTGTTGTATAAAAAAACCAGTCCTAATTATTAGATGAAAGTAGCCTGCAAGAGGGGTTGTTTTTTGTCCATTGGAAACTTAAGATTTCATTGGATCTTAATTTTAGATCAAGCAGGAAACAAGAATACAGATCATATTTATAAAATAATGACTGCTTTTCAGAAAACATGCATCCAAAAGAAGAGTAACAACTGGTTAGGAAAGGAAGGGGGTATAAACATCTACCTATATTCTAATTGGTCGTCATAGACCCAAAGTACTTTTGGAATACTTGGAGCTGATTTAGCTTTATGAAAAACTCACTACACTGTTATTTTCCTTTTAATCCTGGATCAGTAAACCCTGACAGCCTGGTTGTAGATAGCTCTAGAGAAATTTTTGCTCATACTTCTTCCAGTTTTAATTTTTTTAACTGATTGATTTTAGAAAGGGGGGGGGAGAGGGAGAGAGAGGCATCAATTTGTTGTTCTACTTCTTTATGCATTCACTGGTTTTAATTCCTACATTGGTTGATTTTTGTGTGTGCCCTGACCAGGAATTGGACCTGCAATCTTGGCGTATAGAGACCACGTTGTAACCAACTGGTCAGGACTTCCTCCAGTTTTAAGTCTACCATTTGACCATTTAAAAGAATAACCCTTATTGGATATATGATGTTTTTCCTTTAAAGGAAAACCTTAGAAGGTCTCATTCTGTTCTAGTTCACATTTCACATTATACTCCTAAATATCTCTGAGATAACATAGCACAAAGCTGAGGAGCGAGGCATAGTCAAGTTAGTACAATACCAGGCTAGGAATCAAGAGGCTTATGTTTCATTCCTGGCTATGCCACTGAACTTTCAGTGAGTGTTCTCCTCACAAAACCAGAAATATACCGTACACACTGATAACAGTAACAACTGCCAAGTACCTTTGAGCCACACACAGTGCTGAGTTTTATGCTCATTTCATCCTCACAACCACTCTGTGAGGTAGGTAGGTACTTTTATTCCTATTTTTATAAATGGAAAAATAGAACTATAAAGAAATTAACACATTCAAGTTCACACAGCTAGATATTTATAAGCTGAAATATTTTAGAAATTCATACAGATGGAAACTGCCCCACTTCAGAGTCTAAGCTCTTTTAATCATGTTATATATTTTCTTCACTCTACCTGCATCAAAAAATGCACCATATGGCAAGGAACATTTTAATGAGTGAACAAATACTATAGACACACTCTTAATTTTTTAAAAACAATCACTTACCCAATTTCTTTTAAGCTTTGCCTTAAGGCTCAATTAGTTCAAGCTAGTATAGGTAAGTGGGTCACCTCTGGGACACCCTGTCCAGCAGAGTGCCCATCTGCTGGTGGCAAGGCTTGTTCCAGGTCCAAACTATACTGCTAGGCAGCACCAGGAATTAACAGCCTGACAGCTCAACAAGACAATCATCCCAATGTCTGCTTAGAACCAAGTTTTAAGACTTGGGTTAAATATGACATTGCTTTAGAATTGAGAGAACTCTGAAATTTCAACATCATATTCTCTCTGGGTAATATCTGTGCAGGCTGAATCTCACTGCATTTCTCATTCATGTTTATATGCACACAGATTATGCCCTCACAAGCTAAAATTTGCTAACCACAGTCCCCACTGGCTACTCTCAAGGAAACAGTATATAAGACCACCAGCTCTTGGGTTCTAATATAACACTGACCAAATTGCTATGATTCTGAGGTGTCAAAGACATAATAGAAATCTAGATGTTTAGAGGGGGAAAAGAGCACAAAAGGGCTGTCAAATTAAATGAATACATCCATGATTAAAGGCATCTCAATTATAAAAACATGAACATGTAGCGGGAAAACAGTATGTCTTAGAATTAAGATTTGTTAACTCCTGGACACTGTGCTTCTTCTGTCCACGTAAATGAAATAATGCACTGGTCTTTTTCAATAATCACTAAAGCCAAAACTTCTTGATTAACTATGGCTAGTACCTTTATCGAGTTATGCCACTGAGTTATAACTCAGAACGCATCTTTAACACTGAGCTTAAAAGACTCATGACTTTTAATACTGCACTTCTTAAACCCAGCTATCATAAAACATCACAGGCCTTTGACACAAAGCTAGGATGTAGATAATTTGGTTAGTATCAAGTGCTGCCTAAATCCTTAAAAATAAGCACATCTCAGATCTATTCCACTCAGAAAAGCACAGTGATGTCTAAGGATTGTAACTTGACAATTGTGTGGCAACTCAACACACCTAAGAGCAATGAAAGACAGAGAACACTATCAGTTAATGGAAACAGTAATCAAAGGGATGTTTGACAACTGATAGCACTTTGAAAATATAAATTATTTCACAAAGGAATATGATATTAAGGCTAGGCCTCCTTTTCTGTTTCTTCCTGTTGCACACTGAAACTATTAAATTCTAGTAACGAAATGGATTCTTATGTCTTCAAAGCTTCACGCTATTTAGCAACAGTATTTTATATTTGTGAAACAGGCTACAGTTAAAAAAAGGTTTTATAGATATTTTAGCAAAATTATTTCATTGAATAATGTTGTTTTGTAACTTTTAAAACAGAAGAACTCTATACAGATGATGAATTATAGAACTGTACAACCCAAAACATATTATTTCATTAACCAATGTCACCCTGATAAATTAAATTATAAATAAATTAAATTAAATTAAAAGACAGAAGAACCCACAACAAAGGGGCTTAAGTGACTGGCTGTGGGCATGATGAATAAAAAATTTCATCCCAACTCATGCCTTAATACTTTGCAAAATACCAGGGTATTTCTACAATATTCTGAAGTGACAACAATATATTTATGGAACATCATTCAGATCTCAAAGATAGCTTTTCAACCATGGAACAATGTTTTTACTATATACACTCAGAAGTGGGATCCGGAACCTAAATTCTATTCGAGCAAGCAAACAAAAAAGTGGTCTAAGAGATGGAGACTCACACCTCCACGGTCACAGAAGGCTTAATTTCCATTCTTGTTAAATAAATGGTGCCAAAGAATTAAACAAAAACAAAACAAAACTATACACGACCTATTAGCTAATCAAAATTTATGTTCTCTTTAAGTTCTATGGGGTGTTCATTCCAGAGACTTGTAAAAAAATCTGGAATTCTGCTAAACTTTTTCTTTACACTACTTATTTCAATTATTACCATGGAATTTTTTGCGATGCGTCTTTCTCACAAAATAATTTCTTTGAAGGAGGAAACCACATTTTATTCACTGCTGTGGTCCCTATGCTGAGCACAATAACTGGAACAGAGTAAACACTCAATGTTTTGAATAAATGAATAAATTTCACCAGCATTCCATTCTCTTCATTCAAGGGCTTGAGTCTGAATATCACAAAAGTCAACTTAAAAGTTAAACTTAATCTATATCATTCACTTTTTTCAGTTATTTCACATTTTTAATTAATTAATTGATTGATTGATTGATTTATGTATAGACAGGGGAAGAGAGGGAGAGAGGTAGAGAAACATTAATGTGTGGTTGCTTCTAGTGCGCCCCCTACTGGGAACCTGGCCCAAAACCCCCAACATGTACTGAGAATCAAACCAGCGACCTTTCAGTTCCCAGGTGGGTGCTCAACCCACTGAGCCACACCAGCCAGGGCCAGTAATTGCATATCTTGTACCTTCCATACAACTCCATGTACTTATAGAGAGGGAATTCACTAAGTTATAGGGCTCCAGTATGATTAGGGTCCATAGGCCCAAGATCTATTAAAAAATCTTTCATTTAGAAGGTGAGAGAAGTCACAAAAAACTGAGTGTCTGTGAGAGATATGAGGTATGAATGTGTTATATCACCATGTGCTTTTAATAGAAAAAAATCAGGATGAACAAAAGTAGCACTGCTAGAAAACAAAGCATAGGAGAGGGGGTGGAAAAGTAAGCCACTGGCAAAAAATCTTTAGTGTGGTAGGAAAAAAGGGAAGACATGTATTTCCAAACCTCAATTAGTTTGTCTCCTTTGACTACATCCAGATGTAATCCAGGTGGGGGTTTACCTGCCCTGAAAAATAAGAGGGAAAAAGCATTTTCGGGATGAGTTCATAAATGCCATTTACAATTATTGTCCCATTCAGCACCGCAGCTCTCCTATCAGCCTATAATTAGTTCATGTTTCAAGCCGAAATGTCATCTACTTCACTGTTATTACAGCTCCTTTCTAAGTTTGACACTTACTTCCCCAGTGATTCAATTGCTCTAAAACAGGTTTTAGTGGATCTGTATTTAGAGCAGCACCAAAGAAACCTATATTTTAACACTGGCTTTCTACCTCAGAAAGAAAGCAGCGTAGAGTCCAAGTACTATAGCTGGGGTAGTCTGATCACTTGAAGCTGAATCTGAGCTTTGCCACCAGCACTAATACCATATAAAGGTTGAATAAATCTGTTGGTGTTTTGAGCTGATCAAGATCAATCCCATCACAGGATGAGCAGATCTCTTGAGACCAAATCAGAGGTGCATAATCAGGGAATCCAAGCAACCCGATATCATGCCCATGAAACCAGGTGACGACAAATACAAGAGATGGTTCTTACCCTTGAACAGGTCATGCTATAATGGCTTTTTTAAGGGAACTTTTCCCTCTAAATTCCTATAACCACAGCATTCAAGGGTGACACACAGGTCAAAGCACCTAACAAAGTACCTGGTGCATAACAACCTGAGGAAATGGTAGGTCACCTGTCTACTCTAACTGTAAGTTTACTATCCTGGTCCAACTTCTGAAATTGATGCAGCAGGGAACCAAAATTGACACAAAATTTGTAGACTGAAGTAACTAGGTGTTGCGAAAAATGCAGATATCCAGAGAGCAGCCACACATTCACTTGCTTCCTGTGTTTGCTCCTTTGAAGTTCGTCCTTACATTTGCATCCAAAAAGTGTGTATCTGTTCATTTAATGGAAGAGGCAACATAGTCATCTCACAATTCTGAGCTAACTCCTCTATGGCAGTTGCTGAAAGGACAGTGCCTTGGACAAAGGCCCATTTTGTCTGGGAAACAGGAAAAGCAATGTTACATCCCAAACATCCTTTCTGAACTCCTACTAGGTGCCTGGCTGAGGCCTAAGAGCTGGGAACATAAAGATGCATGAGAGAGCCCCTGCCCTTGAGAATCTCCACAGAACGGGAGGCAAAAGATTAACATAAACAATATACACTGTGGTGAGTTGCAGCAGAGATAGAGCTCTAACTCAGATGGGGCTTCTGGCCAGGCAATTCATAGTTATTCATCTTGCACTCTACTCAAAGACTAAATTAAATTATTCCATTATTCCCCCAAACTTGAGAAAGGATGAAAAGGGTTCCTTCCAACAATTACCGATGCCCACTTGTGCCCGGCTCCGCGCTGGTCGCTGGGAATACAGGGGTAGGTCGGAGCCGTCCTGCCCTCAGGGCGCTCCCAGTCTGCGGGAGACAAACAGGTACCGGGCCAGGCGTGCCGCACCGCAGGGGATGCGGGGCTCTGAGGTCGCGCTAGGGCCGGGAAGCCAGCTCGTGCGCGTTCGGGACAGAGAGCAGCAGGGCAGGTGGGGTGCTACCCAAGAGCACTAGGCAGTCAGGAGTTGAGGTAAGTTCAGGGCCACGGCCCCGACGCGCTCCGGCAAACGGCTCGTGGACGGAGGGGCTGCGTAACCGAGCGCCTCAGAACCCCCCAACTCTGGGTTTCTCAGTGCCTGGGCCCGGGCTGCCGGTTCCTCCACACGCCGCCCGGCCCGACGAACTGTTCTGCCTCATCAGTCCCAAGGTGTCTGAACCGCTCGGCCCACTGCGAGAAATGAGCCGCCCAGCCCGCTCTGGCCAAGCCAGGCCAGGCCACTTCACCCCTGCTCGCCCCGCCACTCACCAAGTCGGGCAGTCGAACAGCGGGAGGTTGGAGCCAGAGTTCGCGGCTGCCGCCATCTTGCGTCTCCCCCTCCCATTTGGCGGGCTCGAAGCACGCCGGGAAACTGGAAGACTCAGAGGGGAGAGGCGGCATCCCAGTATCCTGTGCGTACGCACGCGAACACGCACGCACGCACGTACGGGGTACTTCTAGGGGCGGTGGAGACTGGATTGTGTGTGATTTTGAGGTGTTTTTCAGTGTTTGAGCCAGTTGGTCTTCTCTGGAAGAGTCTCCGAAGAGTCTCCGTAGCTGGGAGGTGTCTGAGGAAAAGGTGCTTCTAAGGAGAGGTGTCGGTCTCCCCATAGCTCTGAGCTCTTAAATCTTCCAACTCCATCCTTGTTACAGGCTTGCACTCTAGAGGAGCTTGAGCGCAGAGCTCAGAGATTTCACTGATCACTCCTGTTTCTCTTCCGGCACTTCTCTGCAGAGCTGCATATTCACTTCCCCTTCCTAATCCAAACCTGGGCCTCGTGGGCTTCGGAAAATTATATGGGAATCCGCTTTAGGGGGTCAGATATTTTGCCGTGTAAATGCGATCCCGTGTATGACGTGCACCCACGTTTTGGGCCCAAACTTTCAGGAAAAAAGCTTTTGTTTTAATCTTAAAATTCAATTAGTTATTTATATTTAGATACTTGTTTTGCTGCATTATAAAGAAATTTTAGCATTGTTTAACATATTTTATGTAACTAATTACAAAACAAGAATATGCAGCTATTTTAGGTACTACCCATGTATAATATGCATCCTTATTTTTCCCTCAAAATTTTGGGCAAACAAGTGCACCTTATACACTGCAAAAATACAGTCTGTTGATGAAATAAATTCTGGACAAGCTGGAGCCAGGAACAATTTGTCCAGAAGGTAGGCATCCAAATCCTCAGTAGTAACCAAGCCGTGGTACCTTTGGATTTTTAAGTTTTGGTTACCGGTGATTTGGATTTTTAAGTTTTGGTTACCGGTGATTAAATCATGAAAGGAAACACGATTCAGGCCTGCCCTGGGTCAACAGCTAGTTGAGAGGCTATCAGCAGGTCCTCTGGTTATAATGGCTTTGTCTGTTGGGTGCTTACTTCTTTGGGCAAGTATGTATTTTATATGGATCATCTCATTTAATCTTCACTACACTCTTGAGACAGGTATTATGATCGCTGAGCAGAGGTTCAGAGAGATAGAATTGACCAGCCTCATCCTAGACCAAGGGGTGAGTGGGATTTGCACCTAAATCTGTATGATGGCAAAGGCCATGCTCTTGAATCACAGTTATCTTGCACAATTAGATGTTGATACAATCATATTTATTATCACATGCTGATGCCCAGTTTTCACTTTTGTAGAACTCATGGATTACCTGACCTGTCTTATTTTTGAGATTTTATTTTTAGAGAGGGGAAAGGAACTTCTTCCTTCCCATCCAGAGAATATGTGATCATTTCTCCCACCCCCCCCCCCACCCACTGGGGACCTGGCCCACAGCCCAGGCATGTGCCCTGACTGGGAATCGAACTAGCAACTCTTCGGTTCTCAGGCTGGCACTCAATCCCCTGAGCCACACCAGGCAGGGCCATTTGTTTGTTTTTAAAGAAACTAATTGAAAATTGTTCACCCAGAGTCACTGCACAGGATCAGGAGTTATTTCTTGATTCCTCGCTACTGGCCCTCTGGATTTTAAACTGAACATCAACCTGTTCAAGATTTTGCCCTTAATGACATCTCCAGGGATCAAGATTTAACTGCAACACAATAACTTGGATTTTAAAATTACCAACTCCTAGGCAGGTAGGAGAATCAACTTTTCCTCTAGCCTTCAAAAGCACAATAAAATCCAGCAAGGATATTAATCAATCAGATGACTTATCAAATGACCTGTTAATATCCTCCTTTGCAGCTTGTGATTAAAAAAAAAAAGGCTGATGGGGAAATACAAATTCTAAACCTGGTTTCAAGTAAACAGACTATAGCCCTCCTTTGGAGCATGGGGACATGATTCTTGAGGATAGTCTCAAAAGTGTTTTGAGTGTAAAAGGACAAGTTTCTTTTATTTATAGAGGTTGTACAGGCCTTGGAGGTTCTATGCCCCTTTTAGGTATGAGGTGCTATTAAAGCCATTTCTAGCTATGAGTGACCTGATAACATCTATGTCAACTTTGGCTTTCAATTCTCAACTTCCTTGTGTGGTCCATTATTTAATCCCTTCTATTGCTGACTATCCAACCCAAGAAACCTAAAGCTGTATTCTTACCCTTGTAATTCTTTACTCCTTGGTCGTGTTTCCTGCTTTCAGCACAGCTGATTTTTACACTGGCTTGTGATGGGAGGGCACCTTACACTTACCTAGGCCTTATAAAGCAAAAGGCTCATTGTTTGGGCACCAATGATGTCAGTCTAGATGAGCAAACTGGAGGGCATCAGTCTAGGGTCTTAGACCCCTAACCTTTTGAAATGGAAAGGCTGATTGGCTAGTAGCTTTTGGATTTTGAACAAAGACAGATTAATTTCTTAGACATTGAGACTTCCTTAGAATAGAATCAAAGATATTAGGAGCATATTGATGCCAAAAAACCTTCTCTTTTTTCTTAGATTTTGTTTTTAGGGAGAGCGAAAGGGAGGGAAAAGGGGACAAGTAGATGTGAGAAACATCAATAGGTTGCCTCCTGTATGTGCCCCAGCAGGAGACTGAATTCCCACACAGGTCAGGGCCAGAAAACTTTCTTAAACACAAAATGATCAAAAGGAGACACAAAAAACAACTGTGTGTATATATGGTACCAGCAGGAGGCTTCATTTATCTTGGTGGTTAATGAAAAGTTCACAAGGTACTAAAAAAAGATGTTTGTGAAAAATTGGGTAGAAACTGCCACCACTCCAGATTTTTAAAGGAAGCTTCATGGAAGAGGTGGTGAGTAGGATACTTTGTATCAATGATGGGTAGAGACAGGGTCTAGTGTTCAAAGGTGTGGTTTTGAAGTATGAGTGCTTGAGATCCGATCTTGGCTCCATTATTCCTAAACTGTGTGCCTATGGGCAGGTCACTTACCTGTGCCTCGTTTTCCTAATCCATAAAAAGGGGACAAGAAAAATATATGTCCCAAATGACTTTGTAGGTATGAAATATTAAATACAAAACATAAAACATCTGCCCCAGCTGGTGATAGCTCAATGGATTGGGTGTGAGCCTACAAACCAAAGCGTTGCCAGTTTAATTCCCAATCAGGGCATGTGCCTGGGTTGCAGGCCAAGTCTGGTGTGGGGTGTGTGAGAGGCAAACACACATTGATGTTTTTCTCCCTCTCTCCTTCCCTTCCTCTCTCTAAAAATAAACAAATAAAATCTTTTTTAAAAAAGCATAAAACATATAACATTTAGCATAGTAAACTGCTGGTAGCAAGAGCTCAGATATTACCCTAAAATGACCATTCACATGTAGAGCAATTCCTTAAGCCTTTCAATTCATGTAGTAGACCGCCATTCCTGGCCTCAATTTCTTCAGCTGTAAAGTGATGGGGCAAGTCTAAATGAGCGGTTCAGATGTTAGAGTTGTCACGGACCAGGAAAAAAATTACAGGAATGTTGATTTTTATTGTGCCAACTAAGTAGATTTAAAAGATGAAGATCGCCGGAGTGCACTTTCCCTTTCCACCAAAGACTGAAGATTGTGCTTTCCAGGCTGAACCAGAATGCAAGTGTCTTGCGAGAGAGGAGCGGAGCAGAGCAGAGCTGGGTGGGAAGGGGCTGGCCCCAGAGCTGTTCCACAGCAGTACTGTTTTCAGAGCCCTGCTGTGTTGCACTGAATAAAGTTTCCTTCTTCACCATATGCTCCCTACACCCTCAAAAAACCTTAAAAATAAAAAAAATTAAAACTGCCATCTAATATCACCATCTTCATCTTGTTTTTAAAACAAGGATATTTAAAAAGTCAAAAGGTGCCCTGGCTGGCGTAGCTCAGTACATTCAGTGCGGGTTGCAAACCAAAGGGTCTCAGGTTTGATTCCCAGTCAGGGCATATGCCTGGGTTGCAAGCCGGGTCCCCAGCAGGGGCCACAGGAAAGGCAACCTTACACTGATGTTTCTCTCTCTCTCTCTCTCATTCTCCCTCCATTCCCCTCTCTAAAAATAAATTTAAAAAATATTTTTTTAAAAAAGTTGAAAGGTCATTAGCTTAGCCTCAAAGATAGTACTTTAAAAAGCCTATTATGTCATTTTTCTCATGTCTCTATGGACTGGTAAAAGCTTGGTCCTTAATCATAGTCCAACATTAAAATTCTGTTATTTCAAGTTTATCTTTAAAGATTAAGTGCTACATTGTCAATCAAATTTCATTTTGGATAAGTATTTAAAATGAACTATTCACTCGCCTTAAAAGTAGGATCAGAGGCTGGGACTCAAAAACCTTTCCAACTATTTCCTGGTTAAATGAAGATTTCAGAGTAGTTGTGTTTCATGGCACTGGAAGGCAATACTGAAAAAACCTTTGAAATCTAGAGATACTAGGAAACAGGACAGACTGAAAACTGAACTGGGTTCTGGTCCACATTTAGTGACCAGAAGCAAAAGCTTCATTCCCGTGACTGAGGACAGCCTCTGAACAGAAGAATAACAAAACGGCAAGGAGAAGGCTCAGCATGTTTTACTTTGCACTGACGGAATGATAATTTCATTTTGATATTTTTGCCCAATGGTAAAGCAGCATATCACCACCCCTTAGCAAAACAAGACAAATCTACCCTGGAAGCATCAGTCTAGCAGCTAACAAATTCTTGTTCTGGAACATTCCCAGAGAAAGTAGCCAGCCTGGCATTTCTACTTTACCATATGCAGTACTACAGTTTTAATTGACTTAAAGAGGGAATGCTAGATATGTCCAGTACTTCTTGAACATGCCATAAAAGAGAGAAAAAAGAGGAAAAGGAAAGGAATACAGAAGCAAACAGAAGTTGCATGTTCAGACCAAACTCCTGTGGTCCTTATAATCAGAGAATTTCACAACCACAAGAGAGCTGTTGATAAAACTCGGGGCCTGTGGGTTAGAGGACTTTTCCAAATACGCACAGTGAGCTAATGGCAGAGCTAAGATTCTCTAGGCCTTCAGTACCCAAGTCTAGTCATTGACCTCCACTCCAGTGGTTCTTAACCATGGCTGTACATGAGAATTAGCTGGACCTTTTCAAAGCCCCCATGCCTACCTATATTCCAAATTAACTAAATTAGAATCTTTTGTCAGGGGCACCCGGGTTATCAGTAATTTTCTAGTGTTCAATGGGAAGCCATGGCCAAGAAACATTGTCCTGGACCATGGTGCCCACAATGACGGAAAAAAAAACACAGATAAAGATTCTATGAATAGGTTTTTAGGATCATCTGGCCCTTTGCAACTGCCACAAATTCCAGGCCATTCAAATTCTAGGCCAAGGTCATATTTGCTACCTATGGTCACTATTACCACCACCACTGGATTACACAGTATTATAGAACAGAAGTGTAGTGGCTTCATTTCACCCAAACACAAATAGTTTTTCACAATCAAGACTTTTTATTGCCTGGAATGTTACAAATGATGTATCCAAGTCCAACTATAATTTGAACCTGAAGAGGCATTAATCACAGAACCAAGAAATCAGCTCTGAAGTTGCTGCCTGGGCCACTGTGACTCCCCAGTTCTCCATCCTGTTTTTCAAGAAAGGGACCGCAGCAGCACCTAATCCATCCCCACACCAATCCTCCCCTGATCTCCAGTCTTCTTGCAGGTCTCAATTTTTCTAAAGGACAACACATTACCTAATAACTACCACATTAGGAAGTTAACTCATAAAAACTTACCACGAAAGTTTTTTAAATGTTTATTTGTATTAAGTGGGTAGAATGGTGCAAGAGTGCAAAAAAACCTTATGCATTTGGGCCCTTGTTTCCCTACTGTTCACATTAGTTTAGTAAAAGAAGGTTAAGGAACATTAAAAAGAATGGAAGAAATTAATATAAATATATCCAGGGTAGTCAAATCCTCTCTAATTCACTTAAGGACAAACTAAAATTGTTGGCCCAATTCACATTTATGTGAGAGCTTAAAGAAATCACATTCCCTTTAACTGTTCTAGACATGTGAAAAAGGGAAGTGAACAAATATGTATATTACAAGACAACGATCTTTTACTGAAACTTTTTTTTGTCTAAAACTATGAGATTAATTCCTTGTTTATAAATTAAGTCTAACATCACTATTCCAAACCAGTATTATTTACAAAAACGAACCTTTTCTTTGCCTTATCGCCAGGTTCACAGCACTAAATTTTAAACCAACTTCAGTTTAGCTTTTAAAATCTTCCTGCCATCAAGCACCCAGTAGCCCTTACAGGGCAGGGTGGTGTTTGGGCTGCAACATTCATCATTCACCAGAAATGCAGAACCACAACTGAACGACACCACCAAAAGGATTAAATCATTCTAAACAACTCCTAGTGGCTTTCCAAAAGCATGCTTTGTCTAATTATCCCTTTCTATACAGGCAGGTGGGAGAGGGCCACCTTGGAGTTCGGTAATGTTAATTAAATTAGTCTCTTCAGACAGTGAACATGATGGTTTAGTGTGTGTGTGGGTGGGCTGCTGTGGCCGACACCAGCGGACAATGCAGCAAACTGGAACCCCAGACTAGCATGCACCTCCACACCTGGTAAGCACAACTAGATACTTCTCATTTAATCTGGACCACATGTGCAAGTTTTTACTTTCTAGTTAAATACACTGCCAAAATCTTTCAAAGCAGACAGAGAACAGGCTTCTTAAAAATTCAACTCAAAATGTTAAATAATAAAAACTGCTGGCTTATTTTACTTTTCTGACGAATTCCAATATGCTGGGTGCCAGAAAGTAATTATATCTCAGTTGCTAATAAAAAGGTAAATCTTGTATACACATAAAAAGAAAATTTACAAGACTGTAGTGTCACCTGTTAAAACAAGAATATCTAGAATGAAATTTTCAGTAAACATTTGGGATTTGGGATAAAGGGCAATCAGAATAGAAGAGAAAGCAAAATACAAATTAATTCGTAATCTGAGAAATGAATACAATGTATACATAAACTGATAAATACTGCCTCTAGAGGTCACTAATTCCAAGGACTGGTTAGTTGTTTCTACCTAAATAATTACAGGACGTTCTGATATATGCTTTCTTCTTGTGATCAGTTTGTTCTGGCAGACTCCAGCAAGCACTTGCCCTTGAAAACAGTTCAGCAGGAGAAAGCTCCGAAGCAATCACTTTCCATAAACTAGCCACATAATAAGTGCGAAGACAGCAACAATCACTGACAGGACAAGCACCAGGATACAGATCTTCTTGCGAGATTTTTTCTGAGAAGAGAAATGTGTGCAGAAGATACTCATGAAACAAGTAAGTAAGATTTTTTTATTCCAAGAGTGCTTCATAAATCTGCCTCCTGGTAATTCAAAATTAACTCTACCCATGAATAAATAAATATGCAGAGACCTGCCCAAAATCTTAACAGTTACCAGAGCTAGGCAGTAGTGCAAGTTTTAATTCCAGGCTCCCAAATACAATTTAGCTAGGCATTATTTGCAATAAAATAACTTATTTGTGCATGTGTATATTAATAAAGGTTTTATACCTTTTATAAAATTTTATGTTTGTTATAAAAAATACAGACAGGCAGAAAGAAGATAATCCCCCACAGATAAAGCTGCTGACATTTTGATTATATATCCTCCTGACCTTTTACCTATACAAATTGTTATTTCATATAATTGGGATCATACTGTATGATGTTTGATGTTTTTCTCACTTAACGTTTTAACATAAAAATTTTATTATAAACCCTTCATAAACACCTCTTTTAATTCCCATATAACACTGAGTAGATGTAGATGATTTACTTAATTATTCCTTTGCTGTTGGATACTAAAGTCATCGTTCAGTTTTTAAAAGGAAACACTGTTGTTAAATACAAATTTAAGAATATTCCAAGGTAATACGACTATCCTAGGAACATGAAAAATGACTGAAATGCCATTTATTTCTAAAAAGCCATGCAATGCCACACTGAGAAATGAGATGAACCTCATTCACAGTATTTGTACACAGATAAAGACCCAGATGAGTCATAAAACCAGTTTCAACTAGTATATAAAAGAATGTCACTTTACAGAAAGTAAAACAGTCAACCCCTGTTTATTCGCAGATGAAAAAACCCCAAAATGATAACCCCTACTTACTCACAGGTAAATAGCCCTCAGAGCTGATCCTACATCCACCCTCTATGGCAAAGTCAACAGAAAGTATCTGCAAAGTCCTACTTTGTATCAATTGTTATCTTAACTGAAACAAAGTTCAACTGTTTAGGATATAAAATTAGCCTTCGACCACATTTAGGTATCCTGCTAGCTTATGGGGTTAGTTCTGTAGCTAACAGGCTTTTATATAAGTTTATTCAAGGTTTGATATCTTTTTGTTGATCTCTCTGCAGAAGGATATACTAAAAATGGAACTGGGACTGCAATTATGTCTTCTTGCTTCTGACGGAAGCCTAAGCAAAGGGCTGCAACTGTTCTCAAGGTGTTAGTTCATCCCAGTGATTTCCAACCAGTGTGCTACAATTTGTAAAACATGCAACACCTGACTATTTAGTCAGAGGCACTGACCTCTTTCCCCTTAGTTTGTCAAATTAAAAAACATGAGAACCAAAATGACAACAGCCATCCAGTGTGAATGAATAGAAATTATACTTGTATTTTTGACAGGTCAGCAACAAATATATTTTTTGGTGTGCCGCAAAATTTTAGTGATTAGTTTATGTATGCCAAGAAGAAAAAAAGGTTGAAAATCACTAGTATATTCTGATAGCCCATAAAGTTTGTGGCACAGAGTGACTTTCTCTGGTACCTTCTTTTACCTGATAGTAAGCAGCTCGCTGTAACTGGTCAGTGGCTCTTTCCACATGCACCTCTGAGCTTTCCACATTGGCTTCTATGCTATCTGCAAAAAAGGAGGGCAGTGGACGTTTTACCAAGCTCTGGTGTTTCAAGACTGCAAACTGAACAAACTTATGATGGGTCCTGGTTTCACCACCACCACTCCAACTGTCCAGCCACGAGATCAAACGTTACTAATCCCGTAAGAAATACCTCTATTCTTTGGGAATAAACACTGAAGTGTGTAGAGGGAACGGTTATGAAGTATGCAACTTACCCACAAATGGTTCAGAAAAAATTATGTATATACATTTGACAAGACAAAAAATTCTAAGGTTTTCTAAATTAAAACTATAAGTAGCCACAGAGTAAGAGAAAGAGACAGTTAACCTGTTAATAGCCACGGACCAGCTCTGACAAAAGACTGCTCACATTTATGTATATCTGTTGGAATTTAGTTTTAATTTCCAGATGGCTATTTCTATAATGATCTAAAAGAGAGAATAGCCAGGTGCCATAGAGCCCCAGAAGCCTCTGCTTCTTATTTACATACAAACATTCCAACCAGCTGCCCACAGCTAGTTCACAAGTGTGGACACTTCTTATTTGCAGACTGTACCGCACCTACCCCAGAACTGACCTTGCTTCACCTTCTCCCATCCCCTTTGTCTACAGCTAATGTCATCCTTTCAGAAGGGCTGCCGTCTTTCTCCCCACTATCAGATACAGAAACGCTGGCAGAACTCCAGGATGACAAATGTGTTGTCTTTCCTATCTAGCCATGCGGCTGGTGGTTTAGACTCCATGCCCCAAGGCTGGTCTTTTTTTGCTAGCAGTGGCCTAATAAACCCTTTTCTTTTCAAAAGGCTTTCAGCCATGGAAATTAATTTTTTTTGTTTAACACATTATATAGAGAGAAAGAGTGAGAGCAAATAAAAAGCAAATGAGATATAATGTTAACAATGTTAACCTCTTAACAAGAGGTTAAGTCTGGGTAAAGATCACAAAGGAGTTCCTTGTAGCATTTTTATTTTTGCAACTTTTTATGAACTTGAAATTATTTCCTAATAGAAAGCTTAAAAAGGGACTTATTAATCCCAAAATTACGAAAGTTTCTAGAAATAAAGCTGGGAAGCTCACGGCTATTTCCCTCAACAGTAAAAGACTTACCACAAGGCTATGGCAAGTGAATGGAGCTGAATACCCATTGAGGCCTCACTTTAACTTCTACATTTGACGACATAAGAAAAATGCTAAGAAACTGAACTTAATTTGTAAATGGCTTTCCTAAGCCACATTTTACTGACTTCTTTGCACACAAATACTACTGACTCACCTTGAGTTAAAGGTATTAATAATACATACCAATCAGGTCACCTTGATCATGGATCATCATAGCTAAATCTTTAAATATCTGATTGACATCCAAAATGTCAGCCTAAGGAACACAGAAAACAACTAACATTAAGCACCATGTCAGAGATTCAGCTCCTCTGCTTACCTAAAGTTACTAACATACCTAAAGCTATTAACATAACACATGTGTTTTTAAGGCTTATAAATCGTATACAAGTATTAGCTACTATTAACTATTACTTAATTGGTCCACATGACAACCCAATGAGACATGCATTATCTCCATACTATAGAAGAGAAAATTGGGGCTCAGAGAGGTTTAATGACTTATATACTAAGGTCTCACAGCTAGCAACTGGCCAGACTGAGAATTAAAAGTTCATGATGTTTTAATTATGTTACTATGCCTCCTTTATATTTAAATTAATCATTCAGTAACTCTATGAAGTAAGTATCTTTGAGGATAATGGGGCTCAAAGAGGTTATGTAACAAAGCATCACAGCTAGGATTCTATTTCTAAAGCCCAAGCTCTTTTTTTCCTTAACTTTAAAGACATTTGTCATACTTGGGACAGTCTCCTAGTTGCTGTGGATACAAAAGAGCTTAATAGCTGGCTGGGACTTGAGGGGATTAGCACACAACAACATAAATAAGAAGGGCTTTATAAAGGAAATGACTAATAAATGGTATATAGAACATTATGTAGAGCAGACTTAGCAGAAGAAGTAGGACTTGAGTTGTGCCTTATCACTAAAGAGAAGCCATACAAAAAGAAAGGTAACTGTATTATTAGAGCAAATATGCCCAGCTTGGCTGTAACATAGATATGTATTTGGTCTTCAGCCCATTCCCTTTACAGAGCTCCTTAAACCTTTGGAATTCCCTAAGTGATCAAAGAGAAAGGTATCTTCTGTCATTTATTCATAACAAGCCCCATTCAACAACACCAGAGTCTATTCTAAAGACTTGACTTTGAGGACCTGTCTGGTATGACTCAGTGGGCTGGGCATCATCCAGCAAACCAAAAGGTCAAGGTTCAGTTCCCGATCAGGGCACATGCCTGGGTTGTGGGCCAGGTCCCTAGTTGGGGGCGTGGGAGAGGCAACCAATCAATATTTCTTTTGCCCACCAATGTTTCTCCCTCTCTTTCTCCTTCTCTTTTCCTCTCTTTAAAAATAAATAAAAAAAAAAAAAAAAAAAAAAAAAAGACTTGACTTCTGGATAGCCTAAGGATAGGGGATAAGTTACCAGGGGAAACAATCCTGTGATTAGGTGGTTGGGACTTTCAGCCTCAGTATGGGGAGGGGAGAGGAGGGGAGGGGTTCTGGAGGTTGACTCAATCTTCAGCGGCCAATAACTTAATCAACCAAGCCCACGAAATAAAGCCTCCGTATAAATCCTGTACATTGGGCTCTGAGAGTCCCAGGCTGCTGAACACACGGAGGTCCTGGGAGAGCGGCACACCTGGAGAGGGCATGGGCGCCCTGCCTCCTTTCCCGCACACTCTGCCCTAGTGTCTCTTCTGTTTGTCCATTCGGAGTTGCGTTCTTCTATGATAAACCAGTAACCTAGCAAGGAAGCTGTTTTCCTGAGTTCTGTGTGCCACTCTAGCAAATTAATCAAAACCAAGGAGGGTGTTTTGGGACCCTCCAAGTTAGAGCCTGTCAGTCAGAAGCACAGGTGACAATTTGGACTTGCCCCTGGCATGTGAAGTGTGGGAGTGAACTGAACCTGTGGGAGCTGGCGCTAAATCCCCGGAGATAGGGCCAGAATTGAGTTAAGTTGTAGGATAACCAGCTGGTGTGGCAACATTGCTTGATGTGGAAAAAAAACCCACACCTTTGGTGGCCAGAAGTGTCAGTAGTGTAGTGGGACAGTGCGGGAGACACACGAGACTGTGTTGTTTTTCCATTAGAACAGGGTTGGCATGTCAGACATAGGAAATAACTGAACATGAAAATTGAGCCTGGTTAAAGAATTTGGAATTAATTCTGTTAAATATGAAGTGCTCCTTACATCCCTGACACCCACTAAGTTACAGTGCTTACCTTAGCTCATTATGTCTCACTCCCTACTGTAATAGTATTTCTGATGTTAGAGAGCCAAGTTGATGATTAATACCAGCAGGTGGAAACAAGAAAGATACGATATCTTTGGAGGAAATTAAATAATCAAACTTGAGGATGAACAGTCTCATTTAAGACCAGATACTGATGGGATCCAGGGCACAGTGGGTCTCAACCCTGACTGCATATTATCATCTGGAAAATTAGAAGAAAAAAAAATCCATGCTCAGGGCCTCTTGTGATTTGCCCATTTTTAATCTATAAAAGACAGGAGGTTCACATAGTCCAAACTAATAATTGGTATGTGGAGGATGAGAGCTAAGGCATTAAAAAAATTGCCCAAGTGATTCTAATGTGCTGTCAGGGTTCAGAGCCACAGGTGAAGGTCAAGGAGGAGCTCAAAGTTTCTCCTCTTCAACCTTCTTTTCCCTACTGCCCCATCAGGGACAGCAGTCTGCTGGTGTAAGGATGTTTTACTGGTCACTGTGCAAAATTAAAGTTGGAAACTCAGGTAAGAAAGGCCCTAATATCTCTCTTTCAACCCCCACCTAAAAACTGTTCCAATTTCTCCAACCCACTGAAATGCTATCCATAATTTAGAATTAGACTTTGGGATGCATGAAAAATGGAACAAAACTTTTGGCTTCCCTTTATTCTGAGCTACTCAAACTAAGCAAAGGGCTCCCTATAGAGCCCCACCTAACCTAGGGATTGGCATTGAGGTTTGGGGGCAAAGTCTTAATGAGTAAGACAGTACCTGTTTGCCTTGCTCTGTTCTCCATGCATATTCTCATGGACACATAGAAGACATGGTGATTGAGAAAAGGAATTGGGTATTCTTCGAAACCATGGCCAATTACCACTATAAGAGTAGTTCAAATTCACCACTGATTACGCTGAAACATAATATCCAGATCACGCAGTGACTCATTTCATGTTTTCTCATAATCACTGAGAGAAAAACTCAAGTGGATTATACAGTGCAGATACATGAGTCAAACAAAAAACATGACCTCTCACCTCCAGCTGCCGAATCGCCGTTTCCCTCTCTTTAATAAGTTCCAGATCCTGTTCGGTGATGGCCACTTCATCCTCCTGGCTCTGCATCTGGTTCCATTCCTCGTGGCTACAGGGCAACAAGCACTCTAGTTGACTCCTCTTCTCAAAGGTGTGCATGAGACACCTACAACATCTCTACTGCCAGAAGAGGCTACCCAAGGACAAACCCTCCAGTATCAATCAACACAAAGTCCCTTGGGGCTGCATTCTTCATATCCAGAGACCCTCAAGGGGCTGATAACACCAAGAAAACAAAATCCCAGCTTTCAGGGGCAAGACTGAGATGAGGCAGAATTATGAGGAATGGGACTCCATGCTGTTTCCATTTGGGGGTACACTCTGCAGTCTTGCTAGGGCTTGTCAGACCAGGAAAGCAGGCAGGGATTTGAGGCCAGTGAAGCACATCCTGGCCTGTTCTCTTCCGGGGCACTCTCAGAGTGCAAGCCATGCTATCTGGGGCACTAAATAGGAGAAGAGCAGGCTCAACGACCTGGCAGTCCCACAGAAAGACATCTCCTGGTTCCCAGAAATCTTAAGATTATGCTTTGGGTTAAATACCTCTTAAAAGAAAACCACAGTAAACAGTTGGTGAAATGTTATGTCTTCGGGTACCCTATTTAGGAGACAGGCATGGGATACATTATGCTAAACATGAAACACTTTGAAAATCCAGCATTAAGCATTTTTTTCCAACAGTATGCATAAATCATGTCATCTTGACATTATTTAAAAAATTTCCTTCATGTGCTAGAGATAGAAAGCTGAATTAATAGAGCACCCCTTTGAAGTGTTCATAAAAGATTCTGTGACTTTAAGCAAAACAAAACATATAGGCTAGTTGATATAAACAAGAATTATGTTCCTGTGGCATCTAATCAAGGTTATAAGGAAATGACATTGAACAAAATGGTGTTGAGGACCTACTATAGCTGATACAATTTGAAGAAGTTAATGGAGACATTTTTCAGATACAAACTGCTTTCTCCTAGAAAAATGAATTGTCTCCATTTTAGAGATGAGTAAACAGAGACCCAATAACTTTGAAAAATTAAAGATAAAATTATAAATATCAATTAGAGATAAAATGCTTTAGAACTCCTAAACTGTAGATTTGTGGTTTGATACTTATTCCTAAATGAGCCAAGCTCTCTCCCCAATACAGGCATCAGGGGATTCCTGGAATTTTTATTCACCTTGAAAGTATTCCTTACATAATTCAAAGACCTCAGAAAAACCCACAGTTTTGATGTTTTTGTTTTATTTGGTGGAATATAAATTACCCACACCAGGTCTCCCCTTATTTTTTCCACCTTTTTTTCTCATGGATTTTTAAAATTAAAAGGAATAGATTAGAATAGATTAGAATAGAATGGAATAGATCAGAATAGAATAGAATAGAATAGAATAGAATAGAATAGAATAGAATAGAATAGGAATAGAATAGAATCCTATCTCAACTAGCCAGCAGGTTGTCTGATAATTACCTGTCAAAAGAGACGAGCTGCTCCTCTCTTTGCCTCTCTTCCGCCTAGAAAGCAGAGGGCATTATTGCTGCTGATATCCAGAAACATGTCAGAAACACACAAAACAATAGTTTCCTTTAGCTAGACTGTAAAGAAGCTATATCCTTTGGCTCCAACCGGATCTATAAGGGAAGGCACAGGACTCTGGCAATCTGTCTCGACTAAGAAATGGGTGAGAAAGCAAATCTGCCTTCCAGTTTGGGCTCAGAACAGAAACTACACTAGACAAGATGGAGAGAATATGGGCAAAAGAAAGGATTCAATATGATAATGACCCTGGCTGGTGTGGCTCAGTTGGTTGAGTGTTGTCCCACAAACTGAAAGTTCTGGGTTCAATTCCCAGTCAGGGCACATGCCTAGGTAGTGGGTTCAGTCCCAGGTTGGGGTACATACGAAAAGGCAATCAATCGATGTTTCTTTCCTTTCCCCTCTCTCTAAAATCAATAAGCATGTCTTCAGAAGAGGATTAAAGAAATCCCTAAAGAGAAAAGTAATAATAAATAATAACCTATTTTAAAATTTGGAGTGAGGTAGACTATGGGGAAGTTGAAAACTTGAAACAAATATTTAGAACATATAAAGATTTTAAAAAATGGTGTGGTTCAGTGGATTGAGTGGTGATCTGCAAACCAAAGGGCTGCTGGTTTGATTTCCAGTCAGGGCACATGCCTGGGTTGTGAGCCAGGCCCCTGGTGGAGGGGCACATGAGAGGCAACCACACATTGAGGTTTCTCTCCCTCTCTTCCTTCCCTTCTCTCTAAAAAATAAGTAAATAACATCTTTAAAATAGGAAAAGAAAATGGACACTTACAGCATATTAGGTACTTAAGTAGCAAACTCACTTCAAAAATCAATCTAATGCATGTGTTCAATTTTGTAATTAAGAAACTAAGAGAAAAATGTTAAAAGAGAAATCTATTCCCAGTTTTAAAAAAGCTTTCCTGTTGTAATATATCAATAATTAAAAGGATGTTAAAATTTTTAATTTTCAAAATTCTACTCATGCACAGGAACACTGTGGGATTGTTTTTGAAATATTTTATTGATTATGCCATTTAAGTTGTCCCATTTTGCCCCCTTCATTCCCCTCCACCCTGCACACCCCTTCCCCTCACATCCGCCCCCTTTAGTTTATGTCCATGTGTCATAAGTTCTTTAGCTTCTACATTTCCCACACTACTCTTGCCTTCCCCCTATTTTCTCCTCATCGTCTATGCTGCTTATTCTCTGTACCTTCTCCCCCTTTCTCCTCCCACTCCCCTGTTGCTAACCCTCCATGTGATCTCCATTTCTGTGGCTACTCTCCTGATCTAGCTGTCTGCTTAGTTTGTTTTTGTTTTACTTGTTTTATTTTTTAATATATTTTATTAATTATACCATTACAGTTGTTCTATTTCCCCCTTCATTCCCCTTCACCCTGCACACCCCCTCACCCACCATTCCCCCCTTTAGTTTATGACCACGTGTCTCAAGTTCTTTAGATTCTATATTTCCCAAACTATTCTTGCTCTCCCCCCTATCTATTTTCTACCTCTTATCTATGCTACTTATTTTCTGTACCTTCTCCCCCCTTCTCCTTCTCCCACTCCCCTGTTGCTAACCCTCCATGTGATCTTCATTTCTATGGTTCTGCTCCTGATCTAGCTGTCTTCTTAGTTTGCTTTTGTTTAAGGTGTGGTTGTTAATAACAGAGTTTGCTGTTCTTTCACTGTTCATCTTTTTTATCTTCTTTTTCTTAGGTAAGTCCCTTTAACATTTCATATAATAAGGGCTTGGTGATGATGAACTCCTTGAATTTGGTCTTATCTGAGAAGCACTTTATCTGCCCTTCTATTCTAAGTGAAAGTTTTGCTGGATAGAGCAATCTTGGATGTAGGTCCTTGCCTTTCATGACTTGGAATACTTTTTTCCAGCCCTTTTTTGCCTGCAAGGTCTCTTTTGAGAAATCAGCTGACAGTCTGATGGGAACTCCTTCGTAGGTGACTGTCCCCTTATCTCTTGCTGCTTCTAGAATTCTCTTCTTCATTTTAATCTTGGGTGATGGAACTATAATGTACCTTGGTGTGTTCCTCCTTGGGTACAACTTCTTTGGGACTCTCTGAGCTTCCTGGATTTCCTGGAAGTCTATTTCCTTTGCCAGATTGGGGAAGTTCTCCTTTATTATTTGTTTAAATAAGTTTTCCACTGTGGCTGTTCCTCTTCCCTTTCTGGTACCCCTATAATTCAGATGTTGGAACGTTTAAAAATTTCCTGGGAGTTCCTAAGCCTCTCCTCATTTTTTTTGAATTCTTGTTTCTTCATTCTTTTCTGTTTGGCATTTTTTTCTTCCTTCTGGTCCACTAGATTAATTTTAGTCCCAGTTTTCTTTTCACCACTATTGGTTCCCTGTGCATTTCCTTTTGTTTCACTTAGTGTAGCCTTCATTTTTTCATCTAATTTGCGACCAAAATCAACCAGTTCTGTGAGCATCGTGATCACCAGTGTTTTGAACTGTGCATCTGATAGGTTGGCTATATCTTGGTTGCTTAGAAGTATTGGCTCTGGTCACCCCTGTTACATATGAGGGGTGGAGCCTTAGATGTTCCCCAGGGCAGGTCAATCCTGGTCAACCTAGGGAGGGTTGTGATGCTGTATGTGGGGGCGGGGTCAGAGAGGGAGCAATGGCACTTGTTCCACTGTCTGTCAGATTTTGGTCCCCTCTGCCACTTCCCACAAGCAAATTGGGCCCTTCTGGTTCCCATGTGGGTGGGCTTGTGTATGTTCTAGGACCCTGTGGACTTCTCCAATAAACTCTCCTGTGAGGCTGGGAACCTCTCCCACCACCTCAAAAGTTTTTCCAATCAGTGCTTTTAGGGTTTATTTCCCTGTGCTGGGGCCCTGGGTTGCGCGTCTCACTGGGTCTGCTCATTTTCTCTCTGCACCCAGGTCTACTAACCACTGCCTTCTCCTTCGGGGACCCCACTCCTCCAGCCATGGACTCGGCCCCCCCTTACCAGTCTGGATAAATGGTTCGTTGTTGTTGGACTTCTGTACAGCTCAATTTTCTGTCTGTTCTGGTTGTGTTTTTGTTTCTAAATCTTTGTTGTCCTTAAATTTGGTTGTGCAAGGAGGTACAGTGTTTCCACCTATGCCTCCATCTTGGCCGGAAGTGGATTATGTTTTTAATTTTTAGTTTATTCCCAGGTCAAGAAATAAAACACTAATAATGTCCTAAAGCTGACTTGAGTTCCCTTCTCCAATTACAACACCTTCCCTCTCCTTTAAAGTAACCGTTATCCTGACTTTGTGATAATCATTTTCTTATATTTTACATATATAATGATATGCATCTTTATCTAATATTGTATTACCTGATTTTGAACAATACATGAACAGGATTATATTGTCTGGTTTGTATTCTTTTCATGCTTTGATTGGATCACACCAGACTGTGCCATATCCGTCCCTGATGCTAAAATGTAACTGTGGTTTGTTTATTTTCTTTGCTGAATGATATTACAGTATATGAATATATCACAATGTATTTATCTATTCTACAGTTGATGGACATTTGGATGTTTCCAATTTTTGACTACTACAAATAATGCTGCCATGAACATTCCTGTACATATATCCTGATACCAGCATACACAGTTTTTTCTAGGGTAGAACTACTAAGTCATAAAGTGTATGTGTGTTCTGAAGTTACAGCCAAAATGGTTTCCAGTGGTTGTTTAATTCATACTACCACTAGCCAGGCAGAAAAGTTCCTGTTGCACTGTATCCATAACAAAAATGTTTGGTGTTCACAGAATTTACAAATTTTGCCCTTCTTTTGGACATGAAATAGTATTTCATTTGGGTTTCAATCTGCAATTCCAAAAGAGAGTTGCTGACAGCAAACTCTCCTTTGCCTGAAGATGTCTTTGGCCCTCATTCTGGATATCTACTTTCAATGGGTTTAGAATTCTATGTAGCCAGTATTGTCCTACAGAACATTAAAGGGGGCACTCCACTGGCTTCCACTGTTGCTGATGAAGAGTCAACTGTCGACTTAACTATTGCATCTTTAGAGTATTCTATTGTTTTTCCCTGGTTGTTTTTATGATTTTTCTCTTTGTCTTTGATGTTCTGAAGTTTCTCTTTTATGTACTAGATGAGAATTTTTATTTATCCCTCCTGGGATTCATCGGCTTCTTGAAACTACAGATTAGTCTCTCATTAGTTGGGAAATATTACCACCCATTTTCTCTTCAAATATCTCTGTTCTATGTTTGTTCTACTCTTCCTCTGTGGCTCCAATTAAAACTGTTAGATCCTCTCACTTCGTTCTTTATTTCTCACAATCTTTCTTCCCTATTTACCTTCTTAACCCCCTGTCCCACATGGTGGATAATACCTTCTAATCCATTTTTTATGTAAACCACCCATCCATGAAGTTTAAACTTCCATATTATATTTTTCAATTCTAGGAAATCTTTTGTCATTTTCCCAAAGCTTTGTATAGTTACCTGCTTCTTACAGATGTTTTCAAATCTTTCTGTTATTTCTTTAAACACAGTACAGTTGTTTTAAAATTCTAATAAGAGATCTTAGTAAGCCCTGACTGGGTAGCTCAGCTGGTTAGAGCACTGTTCCAATATCCCAAAGTTTCCATTTCAATCTCTGGTCAGTGCACATACAACGAGCAACCAATGAATGGATAAGTAAGTGGAACCACAAATTGATGTCTATCAATCTGTCTCAAATCAATAGTTTTTTAAAAAAGGAAGTCTTCATAAGTCTATTTCACCACACTGTGGTTTCTACTAGTCCTTGTTCAGGGTTGTTTCCTTGTGTACTTGGTTATTTTAATACTATGCTGCTTGCTCACACATCAGAAATGCTTGAGGGCATTGTTTCAGGGTTGGGATAAAGGTGTCTAACCAGAGAGGATTTCTATTTGCTTTTTCCTGACACCTAGGTACTCTACCAGTTCTGGACTACTTGAAGCTTAAGGCTTTTGCACCATTCAAGTGGTATGAATTTGTCCAGTCAATTTGCCTAAAGGTTACTTTATGGTACAGCTTACAGTCTGGATTTCTCCTCCCTCCCGCTGTCCTCTACCTGCTCAGCTCAGTGCTAATGCAATCTTTCTGCAATTCACTGGGGAATATGGTTTTTTAGGGCCCCGTTTAATTTGAGGAGCATCTTCCTTTAGATTCTCCACCTTGCATATTCACCCTCATGCCATGAGAACATCAACACTGAAGTTCAAGTTTGTCCTTAGTAAATGTACTCAAGGCAAAAACAATTTCAGTGCTCTGCTTACCTCCATAGATTCTTACCTCCCCTTAGATTTTGACCTTAAGATTTTCGTGGCTCATAGGAGCTTTTGAGAAGTTGGGTTATTACAATCTAGTGTTTGTTAATGCCTTTCAAAGAGAAGGCTAGTCCAAATAACCTACCCTACTATATTCTAAGAAATATAATTCTTAGAATTAATTAATTCTTTCTTCTTTTCTAAGTTTTTAATGAAAGGCCAGTATAATAAAAAGAAGTCACATATAACTCTACCTGTGATTTTTCAAAACCTTTGTGCACTTTCCTTTCTAGTCTTTGACCATGTAAAACATTATTTCTTTTACACAGGTTATATCAATCTGACATTTTCGCAGCAAGTAATGCCTATATTTATTATTTGGGGAGATAGTAAATAAAGACCAATGGTCAGAGAAAAAAAAGATTTAGGAAAGAACATCCTGAAATTTGCAAAGGCCTTCTTTGGGGAATAAACTTACAGAGAGTCGCGATCCAGCTCTTGCTCGGGCGATGCTCTCCTTTTCCTTTTCCGACACCCTTCTCTGCACAGCCTGGAAATTGTTTAAGGCTGCAGAGAAGTCATTCATGAGGCGTTCCTTCTGAAGTCTCTGCTGGCGCTAAGAAAATTAAACAAAAATTTGAAATTGCAAAGTCCAAATCATTTGGTTCTAATACCCATTAAAAGCAATATTATACCCCCTAAAGATTCCCTACTAGCAAAATTACTATGAAATAGGCTCTTCCTTAAATTAATCATTTTGTTCTTCGCTAACTCAAATTCCTGGTTAATATTATAGGCCACATCAGAATTTTCATTCTGACAAACCTGGGAACTGGGTGACATTTAATGTAAGGTAATTTCAGAGGGAACTGTAATTCAGAATTTTGGTTCCCTGGCAAAAATCAAAAGCAGAACAAATACCTGTGGGCTCAAACTGGACCCAAACAGAAATTGTTTTTTAATTAAAATGTTAAAACTATATTTATCTATGCTGAGTTCACAGCTTCTCTGAAAACCGTAGAGTCATTTTCCTATGGTGATATTTTAAATCTTTGAGATCCTGAAAACTAGCTTGTATAGTTACAAGCTACCTTAAGTTAAGCTTACTAATTCCATGTCTCAAAAAAAGCACATACTGACATCACTTGCTCTGTGCTGAGGTCAGAGAAGTAAAAACTCACCCCTCACCTCAAAGAGCTTCCACCATGTATTTGTAGATAAAGGATACAGACATACAAATAACAAGTCATTATTATAAACGACTGCTTATCTAATCAGTACTGTAGGAGTTTAGACGCAGGTATAATCAGTAAGAACCCAAGGGGTCAAAAAGGCCCCAAGAGGAGGTGGGCACTGGAAGAAAGAGTAAGGAATGGACAAGCAGAGAGGGCTGGGCAAATCCAGGCAGGAGAACAGTGTGAGTGAAGGCATGGCGGTAGAAAGGTGAAGAGGATCTAAAAAGAGAATAGTTTGGCTGGAACCAAAGGGGTTTTTTCCCCACAAGAATAGCTAAAAGATGGTGTGGAAAGGCAGGGAAGGGGTTGACTACAGCAGGTTTTAAAGTGCCAAGCTAATGAGTTTGAGACTTAACTTCTAAAGAACAAAGAATAGGAAACATGATGGGTACAAAATGACAGCTTAGACAAATGAGTCTGTGATGGTGTAGAAAATGGAATAAGGAAAGAGTAAAAAAATACTGCAATAGTCTAGGTTTAAGGATAGAAGGATGTGGTATCTGTCAGTGATGGGAACACAAAGGAATGAATTTAAGAAGTGTTATGACTTAGTGAGTGGTTATAGGGGAAGGGGGCAAAGTCAAGAATGACTCAGATTTCACACCTGAGAAGGCGAGAGTAACAGTGAAAGCAAATTTAGAAATAAAAAACTTTTTTTCCTTTTTCTGGGATTTTTACTTTTTCATAAACATTGTAACAGTCAGAGTGGAAAACATCATTCCTCAATCTCACTGTCCAAGAATACTATCTTTTAAGTATATTATAAACATTTTCCATGTTACCATACTCTTCACAATTTTGGTCGTTGTTACATGATACTTCATCAAGCTGATATAGTCAATTTTATGCAAATATTCCTTCTATATTGTTCCCACTTTTTAACTATTGTAAAAGCTAAAATGAGCCCTGCTATAAGAGCTAATATTTACACACTGCTTACCATGTGTTTGTACTGATGTAAGTACTTAATATAATAATTCATTTAGTCCATGCTAGAACCTATATTAGTTAGGTACTATTTAGTCCCTATTTTACAAATCAGAAAACCGAGACCAGAGACTGGTCAAATAATTTGCCCAGGGTCACACAGTAAGTAGAACAGGCAGAATTTAAACCCAGGAAATTTGGCTCCAGAGTACATAGTTGTTGTTTTTTTATTGTTGTTTTTCCTCAGGACAAACTTCGGTGAGTGGATATTAGGTCGAAAGGCTCAAATTTTCTATGACAACATGTATTGCCAGTCAGCTTAGTTAAGGGGTTTGAGTGAAACAAGAGGAATTCGGTATAAGACAACACATTAAATTTCAGATGAAGGCAGTACATTTAAAAGGAGAGCTCAGAACAGGAACTGGCAGTAGAGGCTTAGAGGCTGGAGCTGGAAAAAGACCTGAGGGTCATGTTCATAAAGATGACAGGAAGCTTATAAAAGTAGATAGGACTCCTGAGGGAGAAAGCATAGAGTGAGAAAATTGCAGGATCAATGGCAGAGCTGCAGACTCAGAGAAGGAGAGTGAGACTCAGCCTGGGGTAACAGAAAAGAGGCCAGAAAGATCACCAGAGTGGGGGCACAAAATGGAAGGGAATCACGGAAAAAAGAAAGTTTCAGCGGAGACAGGATGGACAAGAGGACCAAATGAATCAAAGAAGAAAAGGGAGTAAGAACCAAAAAGACCCAGACTTAGCAGCTAAAAGATTGCTGATGATAGTACATACATATGAAAAAAATACTGAAAATAGAATGTATGGTTTGATGTATAGGACAGTAGCAAAAGATGGCTAATGCAGCTAAGGTGAATTAGATGAAGAAAGATGTGAAAAGGAAAAGAGAATTCAGCACAATAGGAGGAAGGGAATTATATTTCACCAGAGATAGTGTATTTGCAGACCTATTTCATATTTTTAATGATCCAAGATAATGGAAGGGAACAACTGCATGCATAATCCGAAAATAACTTCTGTTTGATTTTGGAATACATTAGATCCTTTTTTTTATACCACATTTAACTTTCTATTTATATTTTGCTTAGGATACTATTTAACTCTTAAGTACTTTCAATACTCTGTTTGCATCAGATGCTTAGACTCCTGTTTTCCAACTACTACTATCTGCAAGTGTGTATTCCCTAAGTGCACAGCTGGGAGGAGGCGAGGGGTAATTTTGGAACAGTTCAGAGATATTGGATGGCAAGGAGGAATCTCTCCATAACTGAAATATCAGCATGAGTTACAACTAAAACAAACAGCACACAGATGGATAACCAAAGGGTGATTACATGTAGATTACTTTTTATCTTAACTACTTTGTAGCAGGATGGGAAAGCATCTAGTCTTGGATCTTTTCCTTTGTGCAAGGAGCGCCCAAACTCTAAAGACAGAATATATATACTTCATTAAATGGCTTACCATGGATAGGTTAAACTAGTGATCTTCAAACTGTTTTGATGGAGACACACAGTAAGAATGCAACATCTTGATGCAGTACCATATACATAAATATATATGAAACAAGTTTCATGTAACGATAACACACTCCATTTCTATTATATGTCAAAATGATGATGATCACAACACACTAATACTATTTTATGCTCCAGTAGCCACAACTCACAGATAACCCCTAGATAGGGAAGTTGTAGGCTTCATCTTTAGAGCCATCAGAGATGGGACATCATCATTTAAACAGTTCAATAATAAAAAGCAATATAAGCTAAGTGTCCCCCATCAATGGTACAGAAGCTAAAAGCAAAATGGACTCACAACAGGTTTAGGTAGAGGATGGTTTCTTTTTTCCCTAAAAGAGAAAGGATTTGGGATAGACCACAAATGACAGGTAAAAGAATTAAGCCACAAAGGAGGAAGCACATCAGGAAGCACAGCTGACATTAGGAATGTATGAACAAAGGCATGGCATTCCAAGGAAACCAATGAATCCAAAACACCACTGAATCCAGTGTGTATTTTTAAAGGATTTCAATGGCCACTGAATAAATGACTTAAAAAGAGAAATCTTTTTTTCTGAGCAGTTCTTCAAGCTGAGACCTATGAATGCCTCATGATGGGGCATGAAGGTAACTACAAAATATAAAAGACATACAACAGAAGTATAGATACTGGATACAAAACAAACTAGCATCAAGCCTGAAAATGTAAAGCTGCTAATCAAAACCTAAGCTCAAACACTGAGATTCTCCTTCAGTTAAACCTATTTTATTAATATATTAATACGTTATTACTAATAATAGCAGTAGCTACCACATACAGAGTACCTACTAAGTGCCAGGTACATTGCAAGATCTGGTGCATGCATTCTTCCTCTTGTCACAGTGGCTGCATTTTCCCATTTTAGTGATAATGGGAATAAGTGATAAGTTGAGGTTTAGAAGTCTATCTGTACCAAAGGCGAAGTTATTTGTGTTTTACACACTATCTTCCCATTAAAACAGTGTCCTTTCCTATTAAAAAACAAAGCAATACCTACCTGTTCCGAAGTAGATAAGGGAAGGGGCAAGGTCCCTAATTCCTTCAGTAATTCATTTGTTTCCTTGGCAAGCTGATTTGTGGAGTGCTGTAACTGCTGCCTAAGAGACAAAAGACATGTTTCAGGATGTTATCACATCTTGAGAGCTGTTATAATTAGTATTGGCTTGTTCTGGAGTGTCTCACAAAGCAGGGAATGAAAGGACACCTGAAGAAATAGATTCCTAGATGCCCGGTTCACAAAAAAATTCCAGAACTACTACCCAGTCAAACCCACTTCAAGCCTTCTTCACATTACTGAGTAGAAAGAACCTGCCTCAGTGAGACCTGCTGATCAGGTATTTTAACTCTTTGGGAAGAAGAGAAAAGCATATCAGCAGTTCTCATAGAAATATAAGAAGAGCGACTGCCCCCACAGCTAAATCTAAGAGTTTTAACACACCGAACTCTCTCACAAAACTCTCATGCTGAGTTGCCCAGGGGCTCTGCCAGGCTACGGTCACAGCCCACCACCTACAGACAGAACCTTGGCACTGGTGGTTGGATAAAATGTGCTCTTGAAGCACAGCTCCTACCCTAGAGAACAACCTCCAAAGAGCTGTCCCCAAGTTCTTGCTTAAAGCTGGTGCTTTTTCACCTTTACCCTTAAGTCCCTACTGGTTCTTTATACTTTACTTTCTGGTTCTTCCCTCTAAAAACAAAAAAGTCCTACAGTGTATAAACACATATAAAGAGTACAGGGGAAAGCCCTGGCTGGTGTAGCTCAGTGGATTGAGCGCGGTTCGATTCCCAGTCAGGGCACATGTCTGGGTTGCAGGCTGGTTCCCTGCAGGCCAGTTCCCAGCAGGGGACGCACGAAAGGCAACCATACATTGATGTTTCTCTCCCTCTCTCCTTCCCTTCCCCTCTAAAGAAATAAATTTTAAAAAAAAACCACTTAAAAAAATAAATAAAAATAAAAACAGTTAAAAAATAAAATAAAATAAAGAGTAGAGGGGAAAGGACATTAAAGAGGAAAGAATATGTAATATACCAGGTGGACCTGAAAAGTAGTGGAAATACAAAAGAGCTCCTGTCAGTCACGGTGTCCTCTGTTATCTGGCCATTTCTACAAAGATGTTAAGGGAGGACAGAGAAACCACACTATTAATTATTCTTTTTTTTTCCCCACTGCAAAGGAGACTCTGAGATAAAAAACAAGGGAGTCCAAAATAGGAGGGAGTCAATCAGGGGCCTGCACATCCCGGAGAGGACTAACATATCCAAAGGTATTTCACATCTCCCTGGAAAAAGCTCAAAGTAATAAGTCATTCCTTCGCTTCACAACATCTAAAACAGGAAACAAAAATATTGTTCCATATATTTTACAGATGAATAGTAGAACTTTTAACAGGAGAAATGTACTCAAGAAGGATGTGATAAGAAGTACCAGTCTATTATTCTCAGGCTCCTCTGGGGTCATCTGAATAAATTTTTTCTAATAATGTGTACAGTTGGAAATCCCACTAGATAAGATGACCTCTGCAGATTGTTGGGAATCCTCTGCCAACAAGAAAGGTCACTTTAGGCAAAATACAGTTTAAGAAAGTTAGGGGTTCCCTTCTCTATTTCCCTAAACTGCTCTGCTAAACGGCCCAAGGAAAGAAAGAACCTGCAGGGATCAAGGACTTTAAGACGCAGCGAAGACCACAGCCCATTAATATACTTTGTTGCCCCCCTGCTAGATCCACCTATCACTTCATGTCCCACTACCTCTCATCCTGGCTTCACAGGCCTGGCACCTAAGCGTCCATGCAGCAATGGCACTGAGTCCTCGAAGGGCCCTCACAAAACCCAGCCTTGCCAGGAATCTACTCACAGATTTTCCTGTAGTTTGGTGGAGTCCTGTTTAGTTCCCAGTTGGCTCATCAAATTCTTGATCTGGGCAGCTGAGGAGAGGAAGGAAAAAAAGGTTAAAGAAAAACAGATTCATCATGAGCACCCTAAGATCAGCAGTTTTTTTCTACATCCTGAATAAGTACATGCAAATAACAATGCATGCTATGATCAAAACCTTGGCATATACATTCCCTTAAATTCTGCAGTTCACCTTTGTCCTGTAGAGTATGTCTTTAAAGTAGAAGATGGTGGTTTTATTCATCACCCCCAAAGAACTTCCAAATTTTTTCAGATTTCCCAAGGCACTGAATAAAAATTTAATCACATTTAAAAGGGCCTCAATACTAAATATAGGCCCTGGCCAGTGTGGCTCAGTTGGTTGGAGCATCATCCTGTACACTGAAAGGTTGCAGATTTGATTCCTGGTCAGAACATATATCTGGGTTTCAGGTTCAATCCCTAGTCAGGGCACATATGAAAGACAACCACACTGTTTCTCTCTCACACTGATGTTGTTTTTTTCTTGCTTTCTCTCTCCCTCCTCCTTCCCTCTCTCTCTAAAAGTAATGAATAAATGTCCTTGGGTGAAAATAAAAATATAAATTAATAACAAATTTTAAAATAAAAATAAAGTGGCCTTAATACCAAATATCACAATAAAAACTACAATCCACTAGTACATAATGTTTTACAGCAAACATTTTTGGAAAAACATGTATATTTATTATTAATAAAAAGTTACCAATGTCCCAGTTGGTGTAGCTAAGTGGGCTGAGCACCAGCCTAAGAACCAAAGGGTAACTGGTTCAATTCCCAGTCAGGGTACATGCCTACATTGTGGACAAAGTCTGCGGATGGGGGCGTGAGAGGCCATCTATCTATGTATCTCTCACGCATCGATGTTTCTCTCCCTCTCTTTCCTTCTCCCTTCCCCTCTCTAAAAAATAAAATCTTTTAAAAATTATTTTTAAAATTCTGTATCTATGAGACTGTTTCTGTTCTGCTTATTTCCTTATTTTGTTTTTTAGATTCAATTTTTGCTAGATGTGTATATATTGCCATTTTATTGTTCACGTTTTTTACCTTTTCTCCTTGTGTCCCCCCACCACCCCGCTTCTTCAAGAACCTTTACTATTTCATATAATATTGGTTTGGTGGTGATGAACTCCTTTTTCTTCTCTGGGAAGCTCTTTAAGTCTTTTGATTCTAAATGATAGCTTTGCTGGGTAGAGCTATCATCATTTTGCTTTTCATCACTTTGAATAATTTCTTGCCAATCCCTTCTGACCTGCAACGTTTCTGTTGAAATACCAGCTGAGAATCGTAAGGGATCTCCCCTGTCGGTAACTAACTGCTTTCTCTTTCTGCTTTTAAGGTTCTCTTTGTCTTTAACCTTTTGCATTTTAATTATGATGTGTCTTGGTGTGGACTTTTTTAGGTTCATCTTGCTTGGGATTCTCTGCATTTCCTGGACTTGTATGTCTATTTCCTTCACCAAGTTATGGAAGTTTTCTGTCATTATTTTTTCAAATAGATTTTCAATTTCTCCCTCTCTCTCTTCTCCTTCTACCACCACCTGCCATGATGCAAATATTGGTACCCTTGACGTTGCCCCAGAAGCTGCTTATACCATCCTCATTTGGAGGGCTCTTTTTTCTTTTTGCTGTTCTGACTAGGTGTTTTTTGCTTCTTTACATTCCAAATCACTAATCTGATTCTTGGTTTCATCTATTCTACTGTACTATCAATTCCTTTAAATTATTCTTCATTTCAATTAATGTATCCTTCAGTTCTGACTGGTTCATTTTTATAGTTTACATGTCTTTTTTTAAGATGTTGAAGTTCTCATTAAGTTTGTTGAATATCTTATAACTATACTTTGAACTCTGCATCAAGTAGATTGTTCATCTCCATTTGGTTTAGTTCTTTTTCTGGAGTTTTGTTCTGTTCTTTCACTTGGGACACGTTTCTTGGTCTCCTCGTTGCGGCAGGCAGCCTCCCTGTGTTGTTGTTTTTTCCTCTATGTATGAGGTAGAGCTGCTTCCTGTCCTGGGCTTGGCAGAGTGGCCCAATGCAGTAGGTGTTCTGTAAGGTCTAGCGGCACAGCCTCCCGATCACCCAAGCTGGGCACTCTAAGTGCATACCTGCATATAGGCTGTGCACACCCTGCTGCTTGGTTGAGGTAAGGATTTACCCCCAGGCCTACTGACTGTAAGGACTGGCTATGACCAGTGACCACTGTGGAGGATCAGCTGTTCTGAATAAGGGTTGATGTGTGTAGTTCAGTTGCAATTCTGATGTGGTTGTGAGAGGATACAAGTACCACATTTACTTACCCCACCATCTTGACCAGAAGTTTCCTATTGTCTTTATCCACCTACAATAACATTCCTTTGGAATGTCAAAGTAATCTTTTCCAGACCCCTCAGGACATAGCCATTGCACCAGATTGTGAGACCACAGAACCCCTTCTTGTTATCTTGTCCAGAAACAACACATCTCTGTGTTGTAATGATAACTATCCTGTAAAGAAGTATGTGTCTCCCCCTTTACTTTTCATCCAATCTCAGAGATATCCCTGCTTTGCTTTCTCCCACATCTCTAATCTACCACCAGTGGATGTCACATAACCCCCCTGAAGTCTCCTCCTGTGATTCTGAAGTGTGAAATATGCTCTAAAACTGCCATTCTCTTGACCATTTGCCCAATCCACTGAGATTTTTATTCCCACCAACTGATATCATTTTTTATCAAAAAACTTCTTATAAGACTTTTTCTTAGAATGAACTTTCTTTCATGGACAGCTTCTAAGTGTGATGAGAAACAACATCTAATGATTAGGCAACATCTTCTAAATGACCGTTGTGTGACTCTGCTCCTAAATGGACACTGAACAGCCTACCCCTAGCAGTAGGCATCAGTTATTTCTCCTTAGCCAAAATAATCACTGTATCTAGATGTTTCAACCTCAAATTTATAGTCAAAAATATACAGGTTTATAGAACTTCAAAAATGATTTTATCTTATATCAGACCACACTTTTCTAGCAAAAATGTGACTCCAACTTTATAATGGAGATACAGGATTCACCTGATTACAGGAAGATGCAACCACTATAATTACTGCATTCTGCTAGTACAGCATTATATAAGGTGTAAATCATTTTTCACTACTAACATGTGGATTTTCCTTATTATCTAAGTCAAGTGGGAATCAGGATACCTCTAAAGCTATCAACTGACTGGCCATACAAATTGTTTATGAAAGAGGGCAGGCATTAGAATTTACTGAGCATTTACTATGTGCCATTGGGCTATATACTTGATATGGTATAATAAAAGGCCTATTTGGTCATTGTCACCATTTCCTGACACAAACCACCTAAGATCCTTGGGTTTTCCAGAGTGACAAGAGTGTCTCTTATTTTCCAGAGTGATAAGAGAGGCCCTGTGGAACACACCAAGTTTATGCTAACAAGGTGACTTGGGTGGGGCCTATAGGCCACCTTAGATTGGGTGTGGCTGGTTACCAGAGTGACCAATCGATTAGAAAGTTGGAACTTGCAGCCAGACACACAGACCTCAAACAGGAGGAACAGTGGGGGGAAGGGTGCAGATTAAGCTCTACAAAAACTCTTAAACTAGATTTGATGAACTTCCCTTTAGTGGAGACGTCGTCTTGAGCTCAGAGGTGGCAAGGTAGCTCAGAGCCCCTTCTTACATACCTGTCCTTGGCATCTCTTCCATCTGGCTGTTCCTGAATTATATCCTCTGATAATAAACTGGTAACCTAGTAAGTAAATGTTTTCCTGAGCTATGTGAGCCTCTCCAGCAAGTTAATGAAACCTGAGGAGGTGGTTATGGGAACCTCAATTTCTGATTTGCAATTGGTATGGGGTAAAGTCTTGGGGGAATGAGCCCTTACTAAACCCATGGAATCTGATGCTAACTCCAATAGTCAGTGTTGGAATCAAGTGAAACTGCAGGATACCCAACTGGTGTCTGGAGAAGCTGATTATTACTTGGAGTGTGGAAAACCCACATATCTATATGAGAAGTAAATTATTGAGAGTAGAGGAAACACAGGAGTGTTTTTCCTTTACACTTGATAAGTATGATCTTATTTGAATCAACAGTCACTTAAAAAAAAAGATTTTATTTATTTTTAGAAAGAGGGGAAGGAAGGAAGAAGAGGAGGGAGAAAAACATTGATGTGTGAAAGAAACAGTGATGGAATGCCTCTTCCTTTTCCCAATTGGGGGTGGGAGGGAGACCTGGCCTGCAACCCCTGACTGGGAATCAACAAGCGACCCTTTGGTTCACAAGCTGGTACTCAAGCCACTGACCCACACCAGTCAGGGCCCAAATTGTACAGTTCTGATCATGCAATTATGATTGGTTGGTATGGATGCAAATGAGGTTATTATTTGCATAATTTTGACTGAACAGGCAGGTCCCAGTCCCTTGGAGAAAGACTGAAACCAGGGTTCCCCTGCAGTGGTTGACTCAGACAGCATAAACAAGCAGGATGGGGGTGGGAGGGCGTAGTGCTGAGAGTTCAGTCTGAGGTTCTTCTGGGTATAGAGTACATGAGGAGCTCCTGTTAGCAAATGGCCATTAGGCAATTCTTAATAAAATTTGACCATGAGGAGTCCACCTCAGCACACAAATTACTTCTTGGGGTTCACAAGAGCTACAGAATTTATTCATTCAGAGTACCTACTCTACCCTGTTCTATCTATGCTCTAGGAGACATTTGCTGTCAATAAGCTTATATTTTAAGGAAAAGAGATAAATAATAGCATATAACAGGTAGTGATAAGTACTATAAAGAAATAAAGAGCCCTGGTTGGTGTGGCTCAGTGGTTGAGTGCTGGCCTGTGAAGCAAGGGGTCACCGGTTCAATTCCCAGTCAGGGCGCATGCCTGGGTTGTGGGTCAGGTCTTCGGTGGGGGGTGCATGAGAGACAATCACACAGTGATGCTTCTCTTCCTCCCTTCCCCTCTAAAAATAAATAAATAAAATCTCTTTAAAAAAAGAAATAAACACAG